AGGGGACGGGTATTTGCATACACAAAGAGTGCAATGCACACCACCCCAAGGATGGACATATTTGAAACTCGGACTTGGGGCGGGGGGCAAGGGCAACATACGTAACCTAAACATCTGTACCCCCATAATATGCTGAAATAAAAAAAAAAAGGAAAAAGCAAAGCTCTTCAAAATTTCTTGGCTGCGGGTAGTATGAGAAGATAGTGTAAGGGACAAGGCAGTATAAAATGTCAAAAATACTGCTTCATAGATTGCTAGGAAGTACGTTTGTTGTGAGGATTACATGAAATAAAAAATACGAAGCATTTAGTGTAGTGTCCAACCCGTGGAAAAAGTGCTCATATTGGTATTATTGTAAATCGCGTGTGATCTGTTTTTTTATCAGTCATATTTTGTTCATAATATGACAGCTTCTGAAATTGTGTGTTGGTCCTCATTATTAATGGATTCCAGGTTTGTGACTTTGCCTACCTACTGAGGTTTGCTTGTAATCCCCGTGTCAGTGCTCGAGGCATTTTGCTTGAGTCGTCAGTGGGCGGTTTCTGGCGGACGTGGGACAAGGCAACGTTCTGCCGCCCTGTGTTCCCTCTTGTACTGTAAAGTGTCCTGTTTGCGGCCTGTTTAGTGCCACTTTTTTTCATTTTTGTGTTTTGGGGGGTGATTTACTGTTTAAGACGGCCCCCAAGCATAGCGCCCAGGGGCCGTGCAGGCCGGTAAGCGCAGAAGGCTGTGACGGGCCTGCGGGGGTACGCGCGCCTTAGGCTCCTTCAGGGGGTTCCTGGCCGTGGCTGCCAGCTCCGCTCAGAGAAGGTCCAGAGAACCGGGCCTGGGGCGCTGTGGAAAGGGCCTCAGCATCTGCTCTAAGGAATTGGGTCCTTTTGTTAAGAGCAGTGGAAGCCCCTGAATTGTTTTAAGCAGGAAAAATTATATTCAGAGTTTTGTGAAGATCGCTTTGATCACAGTGAGGAGAATGGACGGAAGGGGAGCAACCCTTGTACAGTTGTCACGGCAGCTGACCTGGGCTCCCAGTGTCGTGTGGGGACGTGGGCTTTATGTCCTTTAATGGTCCCAACACTGCTGTCAAGGAGATGTCCTCGTCCTCCCTGCTTGGCAGGGGCAATTTATGAGGTAAATAACTTGCTTAATGTCAGATGTCTGATGAATGGCTGCACTGATGCGTTAGACAGGATAATGTTTAATGGACGGTGCCTGCTACACAACAAGTGTTCAATTACTGTTTCATTATATACTTATATTGTACTCTTTTTTCCCGTCAATACATTTAAAAATGTTTCTTTAAAAAATTAAAAGGTTTACAGGTAAAAGCCTCCCTCTCACCCCGACCCCGATTCACTTATTTCTTCCTAATCCTAGAAACTTTACTGATCTGTGAGTTTGTCTTAAAGCACCCAGGGCCTATTACATCAAAGTGCACTGGAGCTGAGGGGCTCCACGGCTCTGTCCAGACCCACACCATTGCAAAGGCACAGGGAGCCTCTTTGTTCCTGTTGGTGAAGCAAATAGCCATTTTCACTTTAGTTTTGTGTCTGTAATATAAGTGGATTTTCAGGGTGTCAGGGGTACCGTGATAGAAAGCAGTGTTGGTTGTCCATCATTTCAGTGCCCTTGAAGATATGAATTTTCTCCTCTGTCTCATTGCCCAGAAAGTCACATGGCCATATCCCTTTGTTGTGAGGAAGGGGCAGATATCTTAAAATCGATAGTCTTTGCCAGGAAATTAACATGGGTGCTCTTTAACCCTCTGTCCTCTGCTGCCTGCATCCAAGCCCATACCTGTCACATGGCATGGTCGCTGGTGGACTTGATATTAATCTTATGTAATTATAAAGATTCGATGGTGTTCAATACTCATTTTAAGAAAGCCAGAAATACAGTAATAAGTTAATACTCAACTACCTAGAAAACTATAATCTAGAGTACTATTGTCTGTGTGCTATCCGGGTAGATGATGTTTTCTTGGATTAAGAAATGAGAACAACAGTTGGATTTATCATTAGTAATTCAAAAGAGGAATACTTTAAATCTGTGATTCAGAGAAAATGATGTAAAAAAGGCACGTGTTGGTTTAGTTACAAATATTGTAACTTTTATTAATTTATTTACTTTGCAATAGGGTCTCACTATGTTGCCCAGTCTGGTCTCAAATTCCTGGGTTCAAGCCATCCTCCCTCCTCAGTTTCCCGAGTAGCAGTGAGTACAGGCACATGACATCATGCCTGGTGTACGTTGTAACTTTTTAAAAAGTCTCTTGGCGTTTTGGTAGTTGAACTTTCTGTTTATGAACAGCATGGACTTGAAAGTAATTGCAGCCTCCTCACCAAGTCTCCTCTGTTTGCAGGGTCATCGAGCAGCTCGGTGGGAAGCAGCTGGTAATGAACCACATGCATCATGAAGACCAGCAGGTCCGGTATAACGCTCTGCTGGCCGTGCAGAAGCTCATGGTGCACAACTGGTATGTTACAGCTTTTTGCTGACACGCATACGTAGGTCTGCAAGCCCTCATTTGCCCATTCTAAAGTTCTTATGTAGACGATCTTATGAGTGATCATTTTTAATGCCAGCGATTTTGATTAAAACTTTAGAAATATATTTTAGTAACTCATAGCAATGACATGAAAATTTTAAAAAGGCAATCTACACTTATAGTCTCAAAGAATTCAGAGTAATAATATCAAAAGCAGCTTCAGAAGTAACTAAAAGGACTCTGTGACATAAGTCAGTCTTTTTTATAGTTGAATGGAATACAGTCCGGTTACTGATTACTACAATTTTGCGGTGTTTAACTATTCAACATGTGGTTAACCTGGATGGATTTTACAGGTTCACATAAAATCACTAAAAACTGATGGATCAATTCAGATTCAGCTGTCACATTTCATTCATTATAGCTTTTTGCTTTCGAAGTAACCAAAGTCATGCTTTCCTGCTGTTTTTATTTTTAAAATAAAAATTATTGATGTGCTTAAAACAAGTTAAATTAAGGAGTAACTGCTTAGAGCTAATGGTGGGCCCTCGTGTAATGAAAGAACAAACGAGGGTTTCCTGTGCAGGGCCGTTTGCAGCTGTAGGGTGGGTCAGTGCTCTCAGGGCTCTCCTGAACAGTTCAGATGCCTCTATGCTCTGCCCTCGGGAAGAATAACCTGATTTTGGACTGTTTTTGTTGAGGCACAACGAACAACAGTACATTGCCTATGACAATAATGCTACCAGTGCTTCCAAAGGAAAAGATTAATAGTGCATTAGAATGGGTGCATTTGAAGATACAGGCAGATACAGCACAAGGGACTATCTAGGCATCATGTATTACATGTTGTGGTCCTGCCACTTACGCACTTTTCTCACAGATACTGACTGTTATGCATTCTTACAACAACTGCCTTTTGAATACTTCTTACCCTGACATGTTAAGTGCCAACTATAAATATGATGGAAGTGGGTCCAAATTTACATAGGGTGATTAGAGAAGACCTCTCTGAGTAGGCCAAACAGTTAAGCTGAGACAGTAATAAGGAACCAGCCAGACAGATCAATTATCAGGGGTAACAAGCATTTCAGGTACAGGGGCTGAAAGGGAAAAGGCCATAAAGCAGGAATGAGCTTGGCTTGTTTAAAACAATGTATAGGGACTTACGTGGTTGTGACGCTTGTGGGTGGAGATGCCACTGGCACCTAGTGGGTAGGGACCAGAGGTGCTGATGAACATCCTGCAATGTACAGACAGTACCCAACATTAAAGAACTGTGTGGCCCTATATGTCAGTTCTGAGGTTGAGAAACTCTGATTTGAAAGATGGTGCAAGGGCTGAGATGGAAATACGTGGTTGAGAGGCAGGCAGGGACCCGATCACGGAAGGTCTTGTGGACTGCCATTTGACTCTCAACTTTTATGAGATGAGTTGAAAGCCATTGAAAGATTTTTAAACAGGGGAATGACAAGACTTGGTATGTTTTAAAAAGATCACTCTGGCTACTCTCCGGAGAATAGATTGATCCTATAGGACTAAACGTGAAAACAAGAAGAGCATTTTAGCTGGTTCTCGTGGTGATCTAGGGTTGAGGTGGTTGGTGGATTGAACCAAGTGGTAAACGTTGAGGTCAGAAGTAGATGGATTGGGCAGATTTCAGAGCTAGTGCTGGCAGCACGTGATGAGCTGGAAATGTTTTTAGTTTTTTTCATATCCTCACTGCAAGGTGGATGGGATCAAAGCAGAGAGTACTCCAAATTAGTTTTTATCTGTGCAGCAGCAGGAGTAACTCTAAGTCTATCAGTAAAACATGGATAGAATACTCTGTTGGATTTTTCTCTCTGTTTCACTTTACCTCAAGCTAGATTTTTCAACATGAAGGAATTATTTAGAAATTTCATATCTCACAGTTTGTTTACATATCTTTCATGAAATTAGTTTAAAGGATGTTAGCGTTTAATAGAGTTTAAGGCTGTTGCAGTCAATGAACTTGTATTTGCCAGATGTTTTTCTAAAATTCTGTGAAAGTCACAGTTTTATTTTCCCTTTTTGTTAAAATTAGGGTTGCTGAAATATAATTATTAATAAAAAATGATTTCATTTTAATAGTTCTTGAAGAATTTGTTGTTAGATTTAGTGTTTTTCTTTTCTTTTTTTAATGTATATTCCTGAGTGAAAGAAACGATGTACATAAAATGGAAACAGAATATTGACTCTTTGCCTGTGGAGGAAAGTTTTTGGTTGAGAATTTTTGTTGTTCAAATGATTATGCATTGAAGATGAAATATTTTAAATTTGATTTTTTTCCTTGAATTTAGGAACTTAGTCTCATAGTACATTTTTCTATAGTTGATTGCAAGAGGAAGAGTGTGTCTATACAGACAGAAACTGGCTTATCCGTTCGTAATCACTGAGTTCTTTTTCCCACCCTCTCTCTAATTATGTGCCAAGCTATTTTAACTTTAATGTTTTAAATTTGATAAATCTTCTTTGCATTTAGTGAAGAAGATTATTGTTACTATATTTCTATATACTTTCTTCATAAAGAAATTTTCATATTAAGGAAAATTACTATTCATATATGACCTCTGTATTTTGTGGTGACTTACAAATTTCTGTGTGTCTGTGCACCAGAGAATGAAAGTTGCTCAAGTAATAGCAATTTATTTCTTTTTTTTAATAGTTCAAAGCCAAGCAATTTATTTCAATACCAGATTAATAGGAGACTAAATAGAATACTATTTGGAAAGTAATCTTCTGCAAAGTGTATCCCCAAATGTAAAAGGGGTTTGGATCAGTGTCTTTACTCAGGTAACCTAGTTGTCTGTATTAAACCATTCTAGTTAAAACTACCTTTCTACTTGCCTAAAATGGGGGCATTTTAGCTTAAAATATGCTACTGATGTTCTAAAGACGTTTATTGGTTCAATCTTACAAAGTTCTCTTAGAAGTATTTACTCTCATATCAAGTGAAAACTTGAAAACACAGTTGACTTTGTTGTCTCAGCATCGGTTCGATTTAAATTGAAATGAGTTTTTATCAATGATGTATTTTAGCATTCCGCAGTAAGATAAATTACTTGAAAACAAAATATGATTGTGGGTGCAAGTAGCGTGAAGGTCTGCGTGGCGGCAGAGCAGCCCTTTTGCAGAGCCCCCGGGCGTTTTCCAGAGTCGCCGCTCGCGCCCAGGCCACGTTCTGACAGTTCCAGCACCGCCCGGATCTTCTTCTCTACCCTAAGTGATTTTTAAAGTTTGATATTGCATTGTTCTTGAAGTTTTGGTTTATTAGACTAATTTGTAATTTTTGATACAGTAAAGTTAATATTTATTATTTTCTGCAGGGAATTTAAAAAGTTTAAGTATAATTTCAAAATTACATTCTAAGTATAAATTAGATACTTACGAAATCATGGAACTGGGTCAGCCGTGGATCTTGATTTTGATTCTGTTATTAGGAGCTGAATATTATTTCTTAATGTAGGGATAGAGTTTAGTTTATATAACATGAAGTATAGAATCATAAAACATGTTAAAGTATTTATTTAATTCCTTTTCGTGATTTTATGATAGATTTCAAAATTACTTCCCTGATTGCAGGTCTTAGCATAGCCAGTGTTTCTCCCCTTCCGGTTCACATCGGTGTTTACGTAGAATGATGGATTACAGATAACCCTACTGGAGTGTGGGGCGGGGAGGAATAGAGTTGCCAGGGAGGGAGGGGACGGTTGGCGTGCACTGGGGCCCCTCACTCAGGAGGCCTCCAGCAGGCTGCTCCTGCTCACGAGTCTCCCTCGCTGTGGCACGTGCAGCTTTCTGGTCTTTCCGTACCCACGCTGACGTTCCTGGTGCATGCCTTGTTCTGTTGTGCAGTGCTGGATTTTTATATTTATAAATTTGGCAAAATACATAAACAATGACAACTTACTCTAGAGAACTTATGTATATACGCCCAGTTCATACATTTAACATCATAAAATTTCATCATTTTTCTCCTACAGAATGATTTAAAATGTAATCAGCCTCTAATTCAGAAGCAACAATATGTGCATATGGACAGCTCAGGACTTCAGGAAAGGAACACTGAATTTTGTAGGTAGAGGATCTTGTGTAGAATTTTCTATTTATGTTTCTAGATTCTTTTTCCACCCTTTCTCAAGCAGAATAAGTTATCAGTATTCCGCTCTCTAGATCTGTATGTATAGGTAAATTAATGTAACAGAGAAAAACTCACCAGGTGAACAGTATGGATAAAACTGCTTTGTACTCTGACATTTGTATCTCCTTAGGATATTTTAGTTACTCTGTAAGAGTACAGCCATAAACAGAGTAATTAAAATAGTTACTTAAGAACTGGAGGGAAAAAAAGCCCTTATGTGTTTTAACCTTTTAGCATTAATAATCATGTTACTAAAACATTCCATATGATTTTTAATAAACATATAACATTTTCAGATTTAACTTTTCCATAATTAATTTAGAAAATTTTGGTCTTTTTCTGGGTGCTTGGAATTTTCCACATTATTATTATTCTGACATTTTTAGTGGAGGAACCTTTGAAAATGTCTTCAGCGTTATATGTTTTGTGTATTAAAAAGAAAAAAATATATATATATATATAAACAGGATTTTTAAAAAGTATTGAGACCAGTTTCAAGTACAGAGGAATTCTTTACAGCTATTGTCTCACCATCAGTTGGGCAATTCTATCTCCCAGTCTAAAGCTGCTACTGCTTTGCTAATTAAGAGATATTTCTTGAGGCTGTGCTAACTTTTTCTTTTTCTGGACACTGTATACCACTTAATCACAGTTGATTTGGAAGTGCCAGCATAACATAAACCTTAGATTGTTGCGAAGTACCAGCCTAAATAAACATTTGGAAGAGGTGGATAATAAGCATTGACAGTAAAGAAAATAAAACCCCTGATGAATAATGGAGTCTATGCACTTTGTAATTAAATATTAAATCAAATACAGATTTCACATG